TTGTTTTATTATTTATTATTATTTATTATTACATATTTTTTTTTGCAGGCCAAAGCCCAATACAACAAGGCCAACCAAGGCCCAAAACACGAGCCCAAGTAATTAGGGTTTTAAACCCTAAACCTATCATCATTCAGCCGCCGCCGCCGCTTCTGTTGGACTTCCAGCCGCGCCGCCGTCACTGTTCCGGCCCACTCCGATGGTCTAGCCGCCGTTCCCGCGCCACCATCGTCATCTACAGTGAAAAAAATCAACCCCAAGTTATCATCTACAGTGCACCAACTTTTAAAAAAAACCCCCAAATAAATATAACCTAAATCCCGATATTTACGGGATTTAATCCTGCAAAATCAGTGAGACTTACCCTTTTCGACCCTCATCGGAATAGAGTCCATTTGCTTCGAAGGTAAGGGTTTTGTTTAAAGCTTTGAGGGATAAAGGGCTCGGTTTCTTAGGTTGGATTTAGGAAAGGAAGAGAGGAACTTAGGGTTTATGGTGTTTGTTTTAAGAGCCGACCGCCGCTGGAAACGCGTGGAACGGCGGCTGGTCGATGGGTTCGGGGAGAGAGTTCAAAACTCTCTCCTTTCTTCTTTTCTTTTTTTGGGGCTCAGGAAGCAAGTGAGAAATGTGAGATGAAAAGCTTTGGGCTTAGGGTTATACATCTCCCACGAAACGACGTAGTTTCATTGGGACCGATCTGTAATTTCATTTGGGTTAACTACACGTTTAGTCCCCCGCGCTTTGTAATATAATTATTAAGTCATATAATGAAGTTATATATTATTTGATTTCAAGCCTTTGTTTTTCCTTCCTTGCATTTTAGTCCTGCTATTACTTGTTAGCTATTCTGGTTATATTTGACTTTGGTCCCAATATTTATAATATTTCAATTTAGTCACGGGTTTTTGTGTTGCTTATTTTTTGTGAACATTCGAATTTGGATATGATATTTATGTATCTTACATTTTAGTCACTGATCATGTGTTGTTTTTTTATGTCGAATTTGGCAGCAATATTTGTAAACCAATCATTTTAGTCACTGGTAGCTTGTGTTGTGTATTTTTGTTGACATTGAATTGGTCATTTCATTTGTAAATATTTTATTTTTAGTCACTGATTTAATGTGTTATCATGTTCTGTTAATATTAGATCTAGTCATGGTATTTGTAAAGATATTATTATGGTCACTTTTACATTTGGTTTATTTATGATTCGGCCTTCATGTTTGTGTTTATTTCATTTAAGTTTTTTTTGTTATTTTATCTTTGGGTAAGTTTCTGCTAGTATCATAGTATTTATTTCTTATATTTCAGTCCTTAATTGAAATGTTGTGTATTTTACTTCGAACTTTAACTTTCATCATTCTTATATTTTTAGTCATTTTACACTGTTAATTGTTTTTAGTTAAATGTTTGATTCACTTATTAATTTGTGATGTGTTTATTTTATTCCTTGCAGTTAGTTTACTTTTTCATACTTTGATTTGTCAGGTTTGATGTTTGTTCATTTAGGCCTTAATATTAAATTATAATGTGTATGCTTGCTTGTAAATATATTATATTAGCGTATAGATCATGTTTACATCGATTAAATTATTTATTATTATTTATGTTTTCCATATATATAAATTGTATGTGCAATGTGATTTATTTACTTTATTTTTCCTGTTAAATTTCTAATTTGCAAATTGAATATTCGGGATTATTTATTTTTTATGTATATAAGTGTTATGTTAAGTGTATTTATGTGTATTTCGTGTGGAGCCCACCTTTGTGTCTTATATTATATATTGGCTTTTCTTCCATGATTTATTCATATTAATTTATTTTGTGTCAGCACTTTATGTATCTCTCGTATTAGTTAAATATTTCATAATTAATTCGAATAATTTTGAGAACAAAATTTGTAGAACGTGCATGGAAAGTATCGCTTGATCGAAGTAGTACAATCCGATATGACATTCGAACAAATGTGAACTTGAAATTAATTTGATTTTATTTTGTTAATCCATTTCATTTTAAATCGAACATTGCAATGAATGTCTCTAAATAATAATTTATTCTTTCATGTAGTTATTAATTTTCATTCTACGATGTATATTCGATTTTTTTTTATCAATTTATTCATTGAATGCGAGTGCAATAGTCGATTCATATTTTTTAACGATGGAATATTCTTTTATTGATAAGAAATAGTCGAGTTAGCTTTCTCGATGGAGGATTGCTAATTTCGAGATTTCTTTTCGAATTAAGGAATTTTCTCTAATTAATTGATTCGAAGCAAATTAATTAATGTTCAATAAACGGATCCTATTTTAACTTTATATTCGATTTGTAATTTCCACCATTTTACGACAACATGTAAGCGACACAGTACCAATTTTTGGGCGTTGTGGGGTGCTTACCCTTCCCCGCACGTAATCGACTCCCGAATCCATTTAAATGAATCTTTGGTAACGCAGACCGAATCTTGTCTTAAAAAATGATTTTTCTTAAAATTGTTTTAAAAGACGTTTTTAGGTATTCGACCTACCTAACCCAAAGGTTGATGGCGACTCTTTTTAATTTTATTCAAATCAATGCAAAATCACCCATTTTTCCAAATTAAAGTCATAATTGTTTTTAAAAATAATATTTAATTGTTTTACAAAAAATGGTTATGACACTGATTTTATCCAATAAAGGCATTGCCACTATTATTTTCAGTTATGTGTCTGTGTTTAACATAAACTGAAAGATAATAAAGTCCATATAATAACATTATTAAAAGATCCATAGTCAAGTATTATTATGGGCATGGACAATAATAATACGCTTAAGACTAACGTGTTATTGATTGATGACAAGAAGTTGTCATTGACATAGAGATCTCAGAATTGATACATGATTATATTGTTAGAGAACAATGTATTGGATTGACCCATCATGAGCATATGTCCTGGATTATTATGTAACGGTCATAACATTGCTCATGGTGATGACTATATGTATGATCCTCAGACTTGAGATCAATGTTATCCCAACATATATTGTTGTATGTTTTGATACAGTTAAACATGCTTCGTAACTGGTTGCACTATAAAGATTGTTATTGAATATATTTCGATATATGTAGTGGGGTGTATATGGTTAAGATAGGATTTGTCCTTCCTACATAATAGGAAAATATCACAGACCACTTGACTGAGTGAGACTAGAAATGCATGGTCATGCTCGAATAAGTTGATATGTGATATCATATTCGTTAATTATAGTCTACTTTAGATGTCAAGAAACAATAGATGGGCTATACAAGTGTGACTATTCTAAGACTTGTGCCTATTCTAGATATAAAGGACAAAAGGATGTAATACATAAAAGAGTTAATCACGAAGATGATATGTCGAATCATAATTTCTTGTAACTTAGGTGACAGTGATATATTGCTAGTGTCGAAACGATTTTTAAGTGAGGGGCGCGAGATTTTGAAAACCACGTCATTTTAATTATTCTCTTTACGATTGAATTTTAATTAAAAACAATGTGATTTTAGAAAACCTCTTGTTTCGAACATTTGGAAATTCCTTTACGATAAAAAAACATCGGTTCGAGGAGTCGCCACCAATCTTTGATAGGGTGTGATTGGTACCCAAAAGTTATCATTTTTAAATAAAAATTAATTTTAATTAAAACAACAAATTTAGGTCCGCGTTTCCAGAAAGTGAGTTCGGGAGTCGGTTACGCGTGGGGAAGGATTAGCACCCCCACAACGCCCTAAATCGGTACCTCGTCGATTAATTAATGTCTTTGCAATGAAATTTACAAATTCGAGTTTAATTTGGTTTATGATTCCCGACAAAACAACACATGAATTTTACATTATTCGAAAGCACCAGAATAGATTAAAATAAAATTACCCAGCCTTTAGAAAGATAAAGAATATTCGATTATTTAAAAATATCGAGACCAGATCTTAAATCAGTTATAACAACCTTTTCTCGATAAATTTAAATAGCCGAATATTTCTTTTTCTTCCCTTCCCAAATTTTAAAGTGATAAATCAATTTTTTAGGTGTCACTGATGAGATACACTTTTAATTTAAAATCGTTACAAGCGTACCTCTAATCAGTTAAGACAACCCACTTAAAACGATTTTAAATTAAAAGGGTATTACCCTTAATCCAATTATGTAATAATGTCGAGTTATGCACATGAGGATATCATACATATTATACAAAAAGGATGACATGCAAAAATATTTTAATACCACAAATTATATACATTATAACTTATACATATATATACACAATAATATGTAATGTACGAAAGTGACTTAAAATAAAATAAAATAAACATATTAACTCAAAATATGAATTTCAGGAAATATCTATATTTAAGGACTAAACCATATTAAACAAAACCTTACTATTTTAAATACAAACATAATAAAAATTAAAGTATACATGCAAATATTACCATATTGAATACCAACAATTGAAATAAAACTACTATTATCATTATGGACTGATACCAGAATAGACCCGACATATACAAGATTAGATAGTAACATATAAAAATTAAATGATCAAATGTCTGAATAAATAAATCAACCTTTAGGACCTAAAAGAAACATGCAAAATATAGAACCCTAATGTCTAAATAACAGGAAGTACATGCGCTCAACAATTGAGAACTAAATTAAAAAAAAAAAGATTTTATTCGAGGACTAAAATATACATGCAAAAACTTGAAGACTAAATGTGCAAACGAAAGAAAATAAATACACTAGCATTCAGGACTAAAATCAAATGTGCATAAAAGATAAAGTCCAAATTACGAAACAAACAGGACTCGACTTCAGGACCAAAATGAGTTACAAGTAAAACCTAAATGACTCGTAAAATGAATAAATCAAACGCCAAAACGGATGCCCCAAACTACTTAAACTACGTCGTTTTAGTAATCTTATATATTTATATCTAGGGTAAAAATAAAACCTTAATTTCATTTGTTCTCTTTGCGCCGTTTTTCTCCACCCTTTCCCCCCATCTTCTTCTTCTTCTTTTCTCCCTCAGCAGCCGTTCTGAACTCGAATGAAGGATCCAGACCACCGACGAAAGAAGCCTAAGGACTCGACCACAAACGAAATAGACCTAGGACCTCCTCAAACAAACCGAGACCCCTCAAATGACCAAAACGTTCCCTAATGTTCTCCGACACCCTCTGAAAATAGGGTAAATAAACGTGAACCAACGAGACCCTCCCCTCCGACCACCGTTAGGAACCACCGAGGAAACCTAAACGACCGAAGACCGAAGACCCAACTCCACTGTTATTTTAGTGCCCCGAAAATCTCGACTCCGACGACTACTAAAAGACTCTAGGTGACCTATCAAAACACTCCTAATATTTATCACGTTTATTATGCTTCGATTTTTAAGACTAATCTCAACTCTTTTTCCTTGACAGCGGGGACCCGAACGGCTAAGGCGGAGCCACCGAGACCCTACTGTCGTTTACACAACCAAGGTAATTTTATAATTCCTCTTTACTTTCTATTTGTTTTCGAAATAAGAACAATAAACATGAATCACTGCTTAATATTTCTTAAAAAAATAACGAAAAGGACCTGCTTGTATTGCTTTCAAAACAGATGGGGAAGACCCCTGTTAGACTATCGATCCTTGAATACCGAAATGATGTTTACACGCACTATTTTTTGTTGTTATTTTTTGTTGCTCTTTTTCTCTGATTTTTGCTCGTTTTTGATGAAAAATCCCCTTTGTGTTACTATCCCCTCCTATCGCTGGTGTTTCCCGTTTTTGTTAACTGCACCCCCTGTTGGTTTCTGGTTCTGTGCTTTTTGTTCTCCCTCTCGATTATCATTGGTTCATTTCTCTCCTTCTTCCCTCTGTTCGTGAACCTCTCCCCCCTGATGATCGTGACACCCTCCCTGGGGTAATGGTTTTTTTGCTTGTGTGATTCCTCACCCCAATTACCGAGAGCCCCCTTTTGTTGTGCTAAAAAAATGGTTTAATATGCTGCTCGTGAGCTATTTGTTGCTGCTAATGGTTGATGTCTCCTCACTGATGATCAATCCCTTAAATTTTTAATATCCCCATAATATGTTACCCCCCATTTCATGTGTTGAGTCTGCTAATCTTGTATTTTGCAGGGCATGGGGTCTTCACGAGGGAGCATGGGCAGCATGGGTGGTCTTCACGTAGGCGTTGTAGTGTTTCACATATTTCACATAATATTTCTCATTACCTAAGAAGTTATCCACTATCTCTATTCGGTTAAATCAGGTTCCCTACAAGGAGCAGCGTTGAAATTAGACATGGAGAAGGCCTACGATCAAGTTGAGTGGTCATTTTTGCATGAAATGCTACTTCACCTCAGATTTGATTCTAATTGGTGTCTTTCATTATGACATGCGTTACCACTTCCACCTTTTGCGTGAGCATCAATGGTAGTTTGTCCGAGGAGTTTTGTCGGGAGCGTGACCTCCTTCAAGGTTGACCCCCTTTAATTGTTCCTATTTATTTGTTGTACTCAAAGTTTATCTTCACTATTGAATCAAGAGCAGCGGTGGGGTGGTACTCGTGGACTCCGGGTGTCAGAAAATGGTCTTCGCATTCCTCACCTATTATTTGCTTACGATAATATGTTATTCCTTTGCTTCCCCAAGGGTGAATTTCGTCAGTTGCGTGCATTATTGGGTTTGTATGGAAATGCTTCTGGGAAGAAAGTTAATCTTGCTATGTCCCACGCCTACTTTAGTCCTCACAAACCCACGACTGCCCCATCGGATCTCTATGGTATTCTTGAGGTCATTCAAGTGGATTCTACAAGAAAGTACTTGAGCATGCCACTATATATATTGGCTGAAACAAATATGTGGCTTTAGGGCATATTTGAGATAGGATTGTTACTCAAATTACATCCTAAACACAACATTTATTATCCTTCGGTGGCCGAAAGATTTCCATCAAGCCCGTCGGGTAAGCAATACCGATGTATATCATGGGTTGTATTCTACTACCCACAAGGATTGTTCGACGATATTGTTCCTGCAATCCGGGATTTTTGCTGGGCACTCATCTCATGGGATTCTCTTTGTACGCCTATCTGCATCTGTTCTTGGGGCTTCTATGATCTCCACAAATTCAATCTTGCTTTACTTGTGAAGACTCTATAGCGCTTCATCCGATAGCCTAACAGCCTTGTCTCTCAGGTATTTTTAGTAAAATATTTTTGTTGAGAGACTTTTTGCATGCTACACTCGACCCTTACCTCTTATTCGCTTGGCGTAGCATTTTTCAGGCAGCGCATTCCTCGAGACACAACTTCCATTAGAGGGTTGGAATGGATAACAATGTCTGTGTCCATCTTATTAGTGGGATGGGCGTCTCCTGCTTCAGTTCATTGATACTTACTCGAGCAATGGCAGATCATCCTATGGGCTGTGGAGACCTCATGCGATCAGTAAAACTAGGGTGGGACGAAGCTCGCATCTGGGTTGTTTTCTCTTATGAAGATGCTATAGTTATCCTTCAATGCCTCATCTTACCTACTACGTCGGATATTTTGATTTGTAGTCACTACTCCTCAGGTGTATATTCAGTCTGATCAGGCTATAACTGGTTAATGGACCCCACTCACTCTATGATAGCCATCTCTTCCTTATGGCTTTATCTAAGCTGCTTTCACACGTAGTCAAAGGTTAGGGCCTTCCAGTGGCGTCTTGCACATGAAGCATTACCAACGGGTCACCAATTATTCCTTGCTGGTTTAGGTGATGGTTTGTGTTGTTTTTGTGGAGTCCATGAGGAAATAGCACTGGATTCACTGCATGATTGTGTTAAATCTCGAGATATTTTGATAACAGTTGGGATGACATCTCCTGTCTTCTTTACTGATCACGTTTTTTGGGAGGCTACCTACCAACAATGCGCTTCAGCATGATTACTTTTTAGTTGCCTCCTCTCATTCTCTCGATATAGACTGTGTTATTCCCTCAATCTGGAAGAAGCCACCTTGGGATTCTATAAAGGTTAATGTTGATGATGCCCTGTGATCAGCTGCGTCAGCTTCTTTTGTTGGTGTGCTGGCTTATGATTTCACTGGCAGTTGTAGCAGGGCAAGCTATTCTGTTTTCGTCTATGCGTGATGCCGCTCTTGTGGAAGTTTAGACCATTACTTATGGAATATGTCTTGCTTCTCAACTACAATGTCGGAAGGTGATTGCCGAGAATGATGCTTCTAATGTCGTCACTCAACTGCTTTCCAGAAATGACGATATGTCAATTATTCAATTTCATCTTGCTGAAGCACGAAACTTATTGCAATCTCATCCCCACAATGTGGTCCAATCGATTCGCCTATCTGCCAACACAGTCGCTCATGATCTTGCATCATTCCCTATATTGAACCTTTGTATTTCTAGACTGATTTCCCTATTTGTTTGGTTTAGACTATACTTGATGATGTCAATTATGGCTAATTAAATATATCTCGCATCCTTTTCAAATAGATTTAATACAAAAATAAGTGTCCAAAGTTAACTTTAGGTGCCTAAAGTATTTTTCATTAAAAATAGATGTCTAACGTTTTTTCTGTTATACTTTTAGGTGTCTAATGTTTCCGACGTTATATTTTTAGGTTCCTGAGCTGTAACGGATGTCAATCATTGTTTGACATGTTGCCTAATTGTTTAAAAAATAAAATTTATAAATTTTTCAAAAAAGGATATTGTGTTCTCTGCTGGTGACATCATAGAAAACCAGATTGATGCGTTACTTTCAATCACATTTTGGTTTATCTTCTTAATAATTTTATTATTATTTTTTAAAAATACTTAATATATTTATAAATATCAATTTAAAGTATATGTTATAACAAATAGTGTGAAATATATAATTTTTCATTTCACTCAATTTAATTGGGTAAAATATAAATTATATAATGTAGGTACAATTTTAGAAATTTAGTTTGCAAGCTCACGCTTTAGTAAAAGGGTTTGAAGAAGTCAAAGAAGAAAGTTGAGTACCAAACAGAATTTAAAGTTAGTGCATAGGAGTGTAAATGAATTGAGATTAAAAGAATAAAGTTATATTTCATGTTTGTTAATTTTTGAATGTGTACATATTTTATTTGTGTTCGTTTAAATTTTCAGTATCATGTTCATGTTTGTTTATTTATTTTTTAAGGTATTTGTGTTCGTTCGTTTAGCGTTCACAAACATATTCGTTTAATGTTTGTGAACATGTTCATTTAACGTTCTTTTAATGTTCAACAACCAACACTCTCTTTATAGTCTTTTATTTTCAAGCCAATGAAAATGGTGAAATTATGCCACTAGCCCTTAGCTTCCTTAGGTTTCACAGTTTGAACTTCAAAGTTCAGCTTATGTTCAATTTAGTCCCTCTATTTATAAATATTTAAAATGTAAAAAAAATAATAAGTAAAGGAGAACCCAGTAAATGAGTTTATAAATGAATCAGTAAACGAGCTTATAAATGAGTTGATAAATGAGTCGATAAACGAGCTTATTCATGAACATAACCGAATCGAAGACACATTTGTTTGTGTTCGTTCGTTTATTAAATGAACATAAAAATTTTGTCATACTCATTTATTTAACTTAATAAACAAACATTATACGAACAATTCGTCCAACACTATATTCATTCACCCCTATGAGTTCCCCATATGTTTATTGGAATGTGGCATTCCAGCCAGAACCGACGGTACTAAAACGGAACTGAAAACATTGCTCTCAAGACCTTGAACTTGGTGTGCATAGTTGGTTACATTTATTTTCATGCATAGTAACATTGATTTTTCATGTACTTTTTTTCCTTTTCTTTTTATTTCTGAAGAGCAAAGTTGGGATCTCATTGCATAAAAATCAACTAAAATATGCATGCCTATCACAAATGAAAGCGAGTCAAGATCAGTATGCCGTTCTTCATTCTTTTAATATTTTTCTTGTTTAATTTATTTGAGAATTTAACATTGATCTTGAAATTTCAGATTGTCAAACACAAGATCCATCCAAAAAAATCAAGATTGTCATCCAATTTCCTATCATTTTTTTTATCTAAATAATTTAGAATAATTTTATTTTAGAAAATGGACAGAATGTGAGTAGCTGTAAATAAGTATAAAATTAATTTTTTGTCAAGTGTATGAAATAAGTGAATTTCCCCTTTGTTAGTAACTACATAGGTTTGGTAGAAAGTGGACAATGGCAGAACTTGGTGGTAGAGTTAGGGGGTCAACTTAAAACTTTAGAAAAATTAGAGTTTGAAATTAAAATTTTCAAAATTTTTGAAAGGTTTAGTTTACATTTTTTTAAAAAATGGGGGTCTAACTAAAGTTTTTTAAATTTTAAGAGGCTTAATGAGAATTTTTAAAAATTATGAGAGGAGTTTAATTAAGAACATTTAAATATTTTAAAGTTTAATAAGAATTTCTAAAATTTTTGTAAGAGATAAATTTAATTTTTTTTGAAAATTTAAGAGTCTAAATTATAATTCATGTCTCTGTTGTGTTCCGCCCCTTGAAAGTGGACCTGCTAAAATACATATCTGGACATTTACCAATCATTAAATTTATTCAAATACATTATATATAAAGCTAGAGAATAACAACATGAGCTTTTGATATACATATTTTTCTCATAAGAAGCAGTTATGGGAATAGGGACACCATAAAAGCATAATTTTATTAATTTTATACGTCCAGTATTATATGTCTAATTAAGGAAGCGTATTAATTTAGGGCAGGACAAACTGTAGGATATGGCATGCCATTTGAAAAGGCTACACACTAGTGTGGAGGATCTGCACGAGTTTCAGCTCGACAGTCTCACCAGCATAAGAGCCTTAGCAGCAAATCTGACATATTCCGTATTCATTGAAACGACAACAACCAACGGGACATGTTCCTCCAGTGGTAGGATCAGCATATGATTGTTGCATGCCCCTAACTTTTTCAGTAGCCACCTCCCCTGCAAGTATAAATGTTCCACTCAGTCATTGACATTTAAATAACTATTTTAATTTTTCACAGATTTACAAATGAGTAAAAATAAACGGTTGAGATTAATAATAAAAAAATGAGAAGATATTAATTTTAAAAAAGAGAGTTAATCTCAGCCCATGTTAGCTGCTGACCTTTTTTCTTTTCGGTGGTAGTTTCAGCAAGGGTTAAAGCTGCCACTTTGGAAGAAAGGAGAAGAAGTGCTGCTAAAACAGCAAGGATGAGGAAACTCTTGGAAATGAAAGCCATGTTTGATTTCCTTTTGTCAGAGTGAGCAATCAGAGTTAAGGATGCTTAAACTAAGACATTGTCTGTATCTATTTATAGGCACCCACCCATCATCCAAAAGAGAAATATGGCAACGTGAGTGTTACTAACGCAAAACATTACCCCTCGACCACGCTATGTTGTAGGCTGTTGAAGAGTACGTGAAGCATCAATTTCTATTGTGGAATAAGGAGCCATAAAGTGGAACACGACACTACGAATTGAATTGGTGTCTGTCCCACTACTAACGCAGAGTAACATGGATACTATACCATGATAATGATTTTCTTGTACTTTATCTCATTTAGATACCTTTTTTTTTGTAAGTAGTTTTCATTTTTTACCAAAAGATCAAGCAACCAATTTGCTGGAAATATCCAAACGACTTTAGAAAGATATTTCTCTTATCTTCCTTCTAAACCAGTCATACATAAAGATATTTCCCTATAAAATTCTCAGATTTTACCCTATGAAGAATAGTACAATTCATCTGGTATGGATTCCAAACACATAATTATCTTGTTTTACTCGTGAATCACCCCAAATTCATCCTAAATGTT